ATGAGTGACCTACCATTTTAAAGCCCTTAAAAACCATGAAGTGAACCCTGAAAAAAGTCCCCTGATTCAGACGGTCCTGAGGTCCTGAAAACAGACTAACATGACTAACAACATCCAGCATCAGGACTCTGAAATATTCATCCACAAAATTCGGCCCAACCAAATTATAAAAGCACAAAAAGAAAATTATCTAACCTATTGGACTGAAACAACAGAAATGTGAGGGGTAGGTTTAGGGGTAGGGTTGGTGTAGGGCAATAGAATATACGGTCTGTACAGTATAAAAACCATTACGCCTATGGAGAGTCCCCATAAACCATAAAAACAAACCTGTGTGTGTGTGTGTGTGTGTGTGTGTGTGTGTGTGAGAGAGAGAGAGCGTGTGTGTGTGTTTATGAGTGTGTATGAGTGTGTATGAGTGTGTGTGCGCGCACTGACCCCTGACCTCGAACACTCACCCCACCCATGACGCTGATGCCCACTGATGATGTCACTCTTATTTACTCGTGCCGACAGGCTAATTAAAACATCCGTGACGAGAAATGCAGATGACCTTCACACACTCATCAATCACTGATGCAGCTCTCCCACAATCCACCAGAAGTCAAATAAATTATCCTCAGTTCATTACCATCACACGCCAGCCCCATCATGCCTGGAAAACATCACGTTAAATGAAGCTCACAGCTAAATCGCCAGTAAAAATACACAGAGACACAAACGGCTACAGATGTGCGGAAAGCGCTTTTAGGATGAAAATGTGAAAGAAATTAAAAGAAAAAGCCAACAGAAAGAAACAACAAGCAGCGAATCTGAACGGGACAGAAACACACGCAGAGACGAACTCGGAAACCGGCCAGAGGATTCAATCACACAAACATGAGGAAGACCGCTGCTGCCGCCCATGTGCTTCGACTGCTTCATTAGCCACTGATCAGCGCTCAGGAATCTGGGCCGAATATCTCCCAGCGCTCAACCTCACGTGCAAATATCCCGAGCTGGAGCTCCGGGAACATGAGGAGTCCAGGATTCCTGCGCGCTGACTCAGATCAGACGAGGAAAACATGCTCCGAAAACACAGAAAATATGAGCGAGAGAGAAACATTTGAATCACAAGCAATTCTATTACCCACCCAGTTAAAATCCACTTTGTAGTTGTTTATCGTCCCGTAGTTCAACTGGGTAACTTCTTGGAGGAGTTGGATGCGTTACTCTCAAACTTCCCTGAGGATGGTACTCCTCTGGTACTACTCTGTGACTTCAACATCCACCTAGATAAACAACAACAACACCCTACTTTCCTCATTTGACCTCAAGCGAGTGTCTACTACGGCTACTCACAAATCAGAAATCCAATTGGACCTCATCTACACACGCTACTGCTCCACTGACAACACTTTAGTTACTCCGTTGCACACCTCAGACCACTTCCTCATTACTTTAAACCTCAGACTGACTCCGGACAGAACACAAACTCTTCTGCAGGTCACCTTTCGGCGAAACCTACGCTCGCTCTCTCCCACTCGCCTATCCTCTATGGTTTCATCCTCACTTCCTCCACCTGCTCAGTTTTCAGCACTTTTAATTACACAATTAATGAGAGTCTATGCAACGTCCTCACTAAAAAAAAATGTGAGTGTGTGTGTGTGTGTGTGTGTGTGTGTGTGTGAAGGGCGTCTCACCTGTACAGCCGGTCGTCCCTTTCCTGACGGAGAAGCCGAGGTCACAGTGACAGATGAACGAGCCCTTTGTGTTTTCACACTTCCCGCTCAGACAGATGTTTGGATTCAGCTCACACTCGTTCACATCTGACACACACACACACAGAGATTAAATAAGAAAACGTATGTACTGTATGAATGTATAAGTGAGTGTGTACTGTGATGGAATCAGAAGGTAACAGCATGCTACTTTGACATTTACCACAGCACTGAATGAGTACCATATTCATACATTATGACAGGGATTCTCAGATTTTTTCAGCTGGAAACACTTTGAGAAATTAAGTTCATATTTCAATCATTTAACAACACATTTGCCAGTTCATAGTTCATCGATGTCGACTAATGAGCACATGACAAGCAAGTAAACAAATAAAATATTGAATATTTTTTAGTAAGTATTTTATTGTGATGGTTTTTATTTAAAAATTATTTTATTTTTTACCTTTTATGATTTAATTATTTTTAGCATTTTATTTTGATGTCTTTTATTTAAAATAATTTAATTTTTATGATTTAATTAATTGTTAGCTTTTCATCACCTCGTCAGCCTCAGTTTGGGAAACCCTGTGTTATGGTATTCACACAGTACTTTAGTGTACTTCAAAGAATACTATGGTATTACCACAGTGCATGTCCAAATAGCCATGCAGGTATGCAGGTGATGAATGCTGATGTTCTCATGTCCTCAGCCTCATTATGAATGAATGAATGAATGAATGAATGAATGAATGAATGAATGAGTGTGTGATTTACCCAGACATGATTTCATATCCTCAGACGACATGTAGCCATCAAAACACAGGCACTGGAATTCACCGGGGATGTTGGTGCACTGACCGCCATGACAGATGTCAGGACTGTCCTCACACTCATCGATATCTACAAACACACACATAAGCGGACAGGGGTCAGTACAGTGTGTGTGTGTAGTGTGTGTTTGTGTGTGTGTGTGTGTGTGTGTGTGAGAGAGAGAAAGTGTGAGAGTGTGTGTGAGAGAGAGAGAGAGAGAGTGTGTGTGAGAGAGAGAGAGAGAGAGTGTGTGTGAGAGAGAGAGAGAGAGAGTGTGTGTGAGAGAGAGAGAGAGAGAGTGTGTGTGAGAGAGAGAGAGAGAGAGTGTGTGTGAGAGAGAGAGAGAGAGAGTGTGTGTGAGAGAGAGAGAGAGAGAGTGTGTGTGAGAGAGAGAGAGAGAGAGTGTGTGTGAGAGAGAGAGAGAGAGAGTGTGTGTGAGAGAGAGAGAGAGAGAGTGTGTGTGAGAGAGAGAGAGAGAGAGTGTGTGTGAGAGAGAGAGAGAGAGAGTGTGTGTGAGAGAGAGAGAGAGAGAGTGTGTGTGAGAGAGAGAGAGAGAGAGTGTGTGTGAGAGAGAGAGAGAGAGAGTGTGTGTGAGAGAGAGAGAGAGAGAGTGTGTGTGAGAGAGAGAGAGAGAGAGTGTGTGTGTGTGTGTGAGAGAGTGTGAGTGTGTGTGTGTGTGAGGTGAGAGTGTGTGTGTGAGTGTGTGAGTGCGTGCGTGAGAGTGCGTGTGTGAGTGCGTGCGTGAGAGTGTGTGAGAGAGTGAGAGTGTGAGTGTGTGTGAGAGAGAGTGTGTGTGTGTGTGAGAGAGAGAAAGTGTGAGAGTGTGTGTGAGAGAGAGAGAGAGAGAGAGAGAGAGAGAGAGAGAGAGAGAGAGAGAGAGAGAGAGAGAGAGAGAGAGAGAGAGAGAGAGAGAGAGAGAGAGAGAGAGAGAGAGAGAGAGAGAGAGAGAGAGAGAGAGAGAGAGAGAGAGAGAGAGAGAGAGAGAGAGAGAGAGAGAGAGAGAGAGAGAGAGAGAGAGAGAGAGAGAGAGAGAGAGAGAGAGAGAGAGAGAGAGAGAGAGAGAGAGAGAGAGAGAGAGAGAGAGAGAGAGAGAGAGAGAGAGAGAGAGAGAGAGAGAGAGAGAGAGAGAGAGAGAGAGAGAGAGAGAGAGAGAGAGAGAGAGAGAGAGAGAGAGAGAGAGAGAGAGAGAGAGAGAGAGAGAGAGAGAGAGAGAGAGAGAGAGAGAGAGAGAGAGAGAGAGAGAGAGAGAGAGAGAGAGAGAGAGAGAGAGAGAGAGAGAGAGAGAGAGAGAGAGAGAGAGAGAGAGAGAGAGAGAGAGAGAGAGTGTGTGTGAGAGAGAGAGTGAGAGTGTGTGTGAGAGAGAGAGAGAGAGACCTGTGCAGCTCCTGAGGTCAGGCATGAGGGCGTAACCGCGGCGACAGCTGCATTCGTAACTTCCCTCTGAATTGGTGCAGAATGTCTCACAGCCGCCGTTCTCAATGGTGCATTCATCGATATCTGAAACACACACAAACATGCGTGTCACATTTACACATCACAGACTGCGTTTACATGCATCAGATTCTGTTTAAAGTCTAAACTCGGCTTACAGTAATAATGTGCGTCCAAACATTGCAATATTCCTGTATACTTACAATATCTACATGCGTGTTTCCTTTCCTGCTGTTATTTCCCGGGAGATTCCGGATGCTGCCGTTGGTTATATATATGATCATCAAGTATTCTATGTATTATTTCAAAACCAGCAGTTTTTGTTTTTATTTTACTTGGTTTAACCAGAGTGGCATCTTTTCGTCATGGAGCAAAACACATGTTTACAGAAACCTGGAAGATCTGAGCTCTCTGAACTAAAACTGAACTCTAGAGCACATTATAAGCTACATAAATAATGTCCATATACACACATATTCTGCAGATTCTTGTTCCTTAGACTCAGAGTCCAAACTTAAGTCCAAATGTAATGAACAGGATCGCTCAAAGATCCACTTTTAGGGCCGGTTTATAATGGGAAGGGTTCAATTCTTTTTTATGGAGTACCAATGTAAATACAGTGCACATGCAGAACATTTCAGCTTCCAGACATTTCTTCATTTTAGTTTACTGGGGTGAGAAAGTGCACATTTATTAAATTCCCCTGACTTTGGGCTGGATTTTCTCTGGTTTGAGGACCACATGTCCTCTATGGCAGCATTCTGCTGTAAAAACTGTGACCTCGAGATTTCACTGGCTACCGAACAAGAATATTGACCTTAAAACACAAGCAGCCTGTTTAACTCACGGGAAACAGTAACGACAAACTCAATTAGGATTGCTTTAGTGTGAGAGCTGCTGTCTGGACTCAGTACGAGTGACGACAGGAGAGAATGCCACATTTAATATGAACGCCAGTCCGGTGAGCGTCTGTATGTCTTACCGATGCACGAGAGCCTGTCTTCGGTGGATTTGTAGCCGGTGTTGCAGGAGCACTGATAGCGTCCGATCATGTTCACACACTGACCGTTCCTGCACAGCTTGTCACTCAGTTCACACTCATTGATATCTGCAGAGAAAACACACACAATAAACACAACACTGAGCAAAAACTGTGAATTCGGGATGTGTTAGAAAAGAAAGGTTTTTGATTAAATTTACAACCCACTAAGGAGTGTTTCAAATAATCATTTTAACATAAACACACACTCTCTCGCTCTCTCTCTCTCTCTCTCTCTCTCTCTCTCTCTCTCTCTCTCTCTCTCACACTCACAC